AAATACAAACAAATCTAGTGTGTGCAGTGAAGATGAATTTTCGTTCGTAAACGTTCAAGTGACAGCGAAAAAATTTAATATAATCTTATCCGCAAACAATTGGCAAAAAATTAAACCAATTTCAGCAATTTATCATCGCATTGAAGATAATGAACACCGCAAACTGGAACGTGCATACAACATACTGCCGCCTGGCGTATGGACATACGTGTTGTCTCGTATCATCAGCAGAGAGCAGAAAGATGTGCCCTGCCGATGGACATTCAAAAGATGCAAGGTAAGTTCTCGTCAAACATCAACATTTTTTTTTCATTCGATTCAAGCCCAGAAGAAATCAAGTCAGTGTCATTTTCATCGCCCAACGAAAGAAACTTACCACTTTAATCAACAAGCTATGTTTGATCATTCGATGGCATGTAAAAAGTTTGATTTCGATCATGTGTAAATTGCATTATCGCACTTTGTATTTCTCCATGTATGTAATGCTATATTTGTCAGGCAAAACAGTTAGGCATGGGCCAATAAAAAAAAGAATGGCCACCATTTGACTGTCTAAAAGCAACCGTTCGCAATGTAAACACACAAGTTTAAAACAGCATGAGTACGTTTTTGAATAATCGCCGAAAAATGCACGAATTACAAATTCAGCAAACACTGCTAACTAGCAAACGCGCACGGAAATTAAAGAAAAAACATCTGACTTCAAACTTTGGACGAGCGCGCACGTGTGTGTACGTGAAATACAAAAAAGTGTCGCGATAGAATACTAGGTTTATTTTCATTGCACGCAATGACTTGATTAGTTTGCCATTAGTATTGAAGCGATTTCTGCATTCCATAGAATCGACCAGTTCGTAAATACTCGATTGCTCTGTGCGTGCTATTGTGTCCAAAGCCAAATATATGTGTAATATGTGATTCTCACTAATTTTGATTCCAATGAATTTAATGCAACTGGCATGCTAACATCGTTATGTGCGGCTAAACTCCAGAAAAAACACTACCAAAATAATGTAATTAGCACAATTTACGGGCGATTCATAGATGATAAATTTACTTCCAGGAAAACCTCAATTGAATATTCAGAAGTTCTGAATCAGAACATTACAAATCCATGAAGACACTCTCACCGAATTGTACTTGTCATTTCTGCATGTTTTTTTCCCAAATCAATGACAATTTTTCATCAAACAATGTCAAACAAAAAGTTGTAAACGGCAATGACGTACTAGATGTGAACTCATACAAATATACACTCAGTAAACTGTTTCTATAGATCGCACAAATCACATAGTAATGCATGTTCTACCACATGTGTTTTGTTTCGCTTCTTTTCTTTCGTACATTCGTATATACAATTCACACAGCGCTCGTGTGAAAGCAGCGCTTGTACGAAATATTGTGTATGTTGAAACGAGAGCAGTATATGGGCATTTTGTTCACAACATCAATTTTTAATTGTATATAAGTATGAAAGTATGAAATGAAAAAGACGAACGAAACGGCGTACATGTGTTTGTGTTTCTGTTCGAATCTAAAAAAAAAACTTCGGTTGTCATGTTCTGAATATGAATTTTAAACTGTCAACCACACTAAGTTTGTAGTTTGCGGTGTGTCTTTTTTTATTTTACTGATCGGATTTTATAAAAATGTGTTTAAAATTGTCAATTTTCAAATTATAGGTGTACGAAAACGGTGATAAATACATCGTTGTGTCAGCTAAATGCATCACTTGTGAGGCTACATTGGATGGTTATATGGAGAAAAAGCCTGCGCCTGAAGCTGTCACCGTTCGATTCGATTTTGAAGTCGTTAATATTGATGAATTATTGCATGAACAACACAAACCCCAGAAGAATGTAAGAATTGTTGGTGAAGTATCTCGAAGTTTATGTGCAGGACAAGGCCCAGCAACACATATAAGTCGAAGTTTGTTAAATGCTGCTACTGAAGACCTGTTCGAAATGCCAGCTGAACGCATTCCCTCGGCCAATGCCATCAGATGTGCAAAATACCGCGCAAAAAAGAAGGAAGAGCTCGACGATTGTCCAATCGCAGCACTTCGAGTGCTGAAAAGATCATACTACACAAAATGGATTCGGGGAATTGGAGATGACCCATTTTATTGCATGTATGGAAATACAGATCAGATAATCTTATACAAAGTGTATAAGAAAAAGAACGCCTTAACATCAATCAGCTGCGATGCAACCGGAAGCGTTGTCCGAAAGATAGGTATTTTTCTCAACCAATCTAGTTAATGCACTTGAAACTAAATGTTAAAACTTTTTTCTTTCAAAATTTGTAGTTCACGAAGATGGGGAAAAGTCGGAACCAATTTATTTGTATTCATTTGTCATTTCGGATCACTTTCAAATCCCCATATGGTCAATGATTTCAGGAGCACATCATCTGAGTTTTGTTTTGTATTGGTTTTTTGACTTCATTCGCCTGTATGGTGACGCACCAAAAGAATTTAAATCGGATATGTCTCAAGTTTTACTGAATGCTGCAGCAATTGCATTTGCAAGTTGTGCAAACATATCTGAATATGCTGATTGGTTGTTCAACATGGCAAAAAATCGGAATGACTCGAATATCAGTAGTTTTTTACCCAAATGTTTTATAAGGATTGATGTAAATCATTTGGTCAAAAATATTACATCGTGCGATGAACTCAAATCTAAATCGGCGGAACATAAACAGTTTTTGGTTAGAGCTACGTGTTTACTCATACCATGTACCTCTTTGGAAAAAGCACGAAAAATTTTATATTCAATTTTGGTCGTAGCTAAATCCAAAGTTAAAGGTAAGTTTTATAAAACGGAAATTCGTGAATCCAAACAAAAAATATATAAATTTTGATTAAATTGTTTCAAGATTCCGTCTTCAATAACCATAAAAAGTATTTGGATGATTTGGTCAGTGGAGCAAGTGCCATTGACATAACATCACCAGGAGCCGAACAATTTCACAACAAAAATGACGATGTTACTGCTGACAGTTCCTTTGCCGAATCGGGACCCATTCAAGATTGGTTAGATGAGTTGAATGATGAAACCAGCAACGAAATCAATGAAAATACTGATGGTGAGAATGCCACCAAAAATGAATGGGAGAACATGGGTTTTGTACAGTACCTACTTCGGCTGAGCAAATCGATTGTTTTGTGGACGGGAATATGTTCATCATTTTTTAACGCACCAAAAACTGCATCATCAGCTAACGTTGAGTCTTACTTTAAAAACGTGAAACAAACTCTTCATTCTATAATTCCATGTCGAGCTGACGAATTCGTCTGTGCACATATCGATATGATGGAAGGAATGAGCAAAGAAGCTTCATTGACCTATATAGATTTTATAGACGCCGCTGGTGGTTTACAAAGTCTACTCAATGACCATTCAACCCAATATGATTCAGAAGGTGTCAACGAGGAACCGGAATCACGTGCCCGTGATGATTTAACTGCGGATTCGGCTTCGAATCAAGCTGCAACTAAATCACGTGCCGTTAAATCGAAAGAAATACCAATTCAAAGTGAAGGTATGTCGGGTAGTGATTTAACTACGGATTCAATGGCATCAGATTGTGTTGCATGTCAAAATGGCGATGAACCCTCAGGAGCGCATAAATGCATTAAATGCGCAAAATCTGTGCATATTCTCGATGGATGTTCGATATCTTGTGGCGATGACGAAGGCTACGGAGAAGGCCGAATTTGTTTGTCTTGTGTACGAGCCCCTAAGCCAGCTCCATCGCAAGCTTCAACTAGATCACTTCCACCCACAAAAATTACCGCAGAACAGTTGAATGAAAAGGAAGTGTGGCAGAGGAAGAAACAATCAAACAACTCATACTTGCGCCCTGTTCCCAATTGGAATTTGGATAGACGCGTACAATCTAAGCCAAAAATCAACATGTTTCTTAATGGGAGCTTATCAACAACAACTCATAAAGTTGGAACATCAAAAGTCGCGGTAAGAAATACGTGCGCATTCGACTCAATATGCCAGGTAAAACAACGATTGACCCGCGGATCAAACAAGAAAATATATAAAATTTAATCTTTAACTAATTGAATCTTTATTTAGTTGTTTGCAGCTTCGCATGCGTACTTCGTCCACCATAGAATGTATATGGAAGGACTTCTGGACACAGTGGAGATATTCGACATCGCCATTTCTTTGGCCAAATGGTGAGTAGAAAAAACGTTTTTTTTTTGAATTTGTATATTTTCCCCCTTTTTTTCAGCACAAATATGCGAACATTGAATAAAAAGCGTGCAGTGCTAATAACCAAACTCAACCAAGTCCCCGAAACCGAAGAAGATGAAGAAGAAACAGAGCTGAGAGCAGCTTTTGCTGACGAATTCAAATTTGATGTTAATAAATTAGCATCAAAATTGTTGTTAGGTATTGATAGAAAATTGCATTTAAACGCTGATTTTGAATCTTTTCAATAACCTTTTTTGGTTTTCGTAGGTGCATTTACGCTCATAGAAGAGGCAAAATGTAACTGCTCATATTTCTTTGGACCAAAACGTTGGCCGATTATCAGCGTCGGCAAATCACTGCAGAATGACTTCGGCAACTTCGTAGAAGCCATAACAGAGAATTTTCTGGAGCCTGTTTGCCCTGACTGCAAAAACCCATTGCAGATTGAGCAGCAATTTGGCAACTACATGTTGATGGAGGTAAGTTTTTAACGAATTACGTTCAAAGGGATATTTTTCCATAACAATATTGAATTTTTTTCAAGGTCCCGCATGAAAGATATTCACGGTTAAAAGATGTGATCAAGATAATCAAACTCGGGGAAAATAACTTTTCATTGTGTGGCGTCATTGTATTTGAGCCGTCTGCTTCGGAGAATTCATCTGGCCACTACAAAGCCTGTATAGCTGCTCAAACATCATGGATTGAATATGACGACATGAAAAATCAATCGACCACGATTGCATCGAACGCTTCGGTCATGATTGTTTCAATGCTATACATAAAATTACCAGATTAACTTTTCTCATTACATTTTGTTTGTAAGAAATATTTCTGTTGAAAAGTACTTTCCATATAAAATCTTCTCTCTTTTTTCTCAAAATATACATTAATTGCGTTCATTAACTTAGTTCAATAATACGAAAAAAGTGCAGTTTAAAGTTTTAAGCACTTTTGGCCCTTCACTGTGCGAGGCACAGTGTTTTTTTCATTCATTGCTTTATCATACTTTTACTTAAATAACTATTGTCACGTCGACCACTTTTGAAGAAATAGTCCGAAAGTGTCGTTTTCATTCAAGAAAAAAAAAACGGTTTTCATTAACAGTTGTTGAAACAACGGTAGAAATAAGTGCAATTTCCCATTTATTTAGTGGTTCCAATTTCTTTATTTAGTGTTCCAAAAAAAACAATGTATGTTATGGAAAGAGATTTATTGTAAGTTTTGCGTTTTAAATGTTTGACAGTTTTAACACATAACTGAAAGATAAATTAATAAAAGTAAAATGCCAGAACAGCTCTTAGGAAACGGGCACACTGTCATTGTTTTTTGTCGACTTTTTTTTCTATTGAGCGATCGATTTTCAACGAAAATCCACACAGATGTTTTTCGTGTCAATTTCTGCGGCTTTGCACACGGCCAGTACAAACTCCAAATCACATGAGAATGACCTCAGAACATCAGAATTTAGCCTCTGACATCAAATTTTTTCGTTGTTTTTTATTTCCGAAATTTGACAAAATTGGGCAAAATTTTAAACTTTGAGGAGTTTGTACTCGGACTGGGTGAGAGTACAAGCTCTGCGGCTTTGCACACGGCGAGTACGAACTCCAAACGATATGAAAATGTC